ACTAAAGCAGCAGTGCTAGATTGTGTACAAATACCATCCTTGTCTTCTTCAAATTTAGCAATAACATCAGAGGCACTATAATAAGGGTAATAGTCTCAACCAAACCCCTATCTAAAGTAAATTTAGTGAATGTATTTCAGCATTAACATGAAAAAAATGCAACTAGATAGCAGTACATAACAATATTCTAATGCAACTAAAAATCCATAAGCTGTCCCTCGCTGCAAGGTTTTATGAGTGTATATACAATGTCTAATTCATCAACTAATTTCATACAAGACTGAATAGCTCTAAGATATATTCAGATATTGAACACATTGTTGGAATTTACATTTATTATATCAGCTAACCTGAGATTTGGACCAAGATAGATCAAGTACATCATCATCATGACCTTGGAATGTGCAAATAGGTTTTTCAGTTAGTCCAAACATAGTTTCTGGCACCACTAACTGGTCCAAGCTCAATGATTTTCTGCTGATGGATGACCTCCCCCTTCTCTTTGTCTCTGGATGGCTAGGAGATAGCAGGGTTGGTTCAGTGCATGCATTCATAACAAATAACGTATTCATATTCCCGTGGCCAGGTTTCTCCATTAGCAGCTCCGCCTTCTTCTCCGACTCCACAACTTGCCACACATGAATTACACGATCCTCACCTGCACTAGCAAGATATTTCCCGTCCAAACTAAACTTAATGCTCCATATAGATCCATTATGAGCCTGTATCTCCTGGCTTTTATAGAGTGCAGTAACCTCTTTACATGACTTTCCATACTGCCTGACCCGTACTCTTTCAGGTCCATGTAAACAAGCATCTTGGCTTTCATCTGTAGCAGAACTTGACCTCCGCCCACCCTTTTCTGACGAGTTATCCCTTTCATCACTACTCCTTCTGTCCTTGTAACCCGTCATACTGCTAGCAACACTCTTTATACTCTTAAACCAACCCCCTTTCTTCTTTATCTTCGTACCACCTCCACTACCGCCATTTGCAGTAACATTTGCATTTGAATCCCTATTGTCCTTGTTACCCTCCCCGAAATTTTGTCGTCTCATCAACTCTAGAACAATTGGTGAATGTCCCACTGTCATCTCAAACTCCTCCATGGTCAACTGCCTTCCAGTTCCCACTTCCTTTAATTTGTCCAACGTTCCGTCTTCCCTAATCTCATTGACTACAAATTCTTTCCCATTATCGAGATCTCTTATGGTGCACACCTGTTCACCAGCCCTGTCAAGTCCATTACAGTTCGCACCCTCCTCCACTTCCACCTCCCCACGACCTGCATTCTCCAAAACTGGCTCCACAGAAAACTGGCCGAAATCCACGCTCAAGTTCGAGTAGCCACTTCGGATTTCACCTAACCTTCTGTAATTTTTCCCTGAAGGAGGCTTACTGGGGAAGGCGGCATTAGCAATCGGGGATCCGCTGCCATTGCCGCACCTCGACTTAACGATTTGATTACGGCAATTTACATATGAGCCATTCTCTGAAGTGACCGAGCGAATAGAAAGAATTGAAGAACAAGAAGAAGTAGACTTATTATGCCGACGACGAGACTGACCAGTACACTCTTGCCAGTCACCGAGATCCGTGCCACCGTCGGATTTCGATCGGGATATGCCGGCGGTGCAACCAGAAGTTTCACCATGTTTTTGGCGACTCAAGTGATCGGTAAAAGCCGATCGGCCAAACTCTCCATCGGCTATTTCTCTAAGATCATCGGCAGAAGCAGCCTTCCCCCGTGACAATGACGGGTCGCCGGCGAGACCCATCTCGCGAAGAAGACGGGTCCGGCGTTCAGAAACCGACGATGGTTGGGAGATCCAAACATCGTACTTGCACATGGCTTCAGGGAATTTGGGTACGGGGAAGGGTTGGCCCGAACCATAATTGGGAGAGTTGGGACTGGAGCCATTGTAGTTGTCGTCGTCATCGGAGTTGGAAGTGGAGCAGGAGCAAGAGGACGAAACTAGACGGTCATTAGACTCGTAGAAGCGCTCTTCTTCGTCTTCTTCGTCCCTTGCTTTGCTCATTGTTTATTGGGCATTCCCATCTCAATGAAAATGCCCAGAAAACAAGCGGGTCGGACCAGGATTCTCAAGGTGATATTATTCCTCAGAAACTATAGCGCTCAAGTTCAATCTGGAGAACGTAAATGGAAAAACCGAGGCGATCAGACAAAGAAGGACATGAATCTACGCGAGGTTTTGGATTAGAAATCAGATCCAATGAGAGTGAGGGGCGAGGGACTGGAACGAAGCCCTATGCCGGGTTGTGTTGGTGTTGGGGAATTGGAGTTCGCCAAACACTGTTTTGTTTTTGTTTATGAGAGAGAGAATGTGAAGGACGTCGTCGTCCTCTTCTTTCCAAATTCCAATAGAAAATGTCTGAGAAACTGGAAACGAAGAAATTTCTTCTGGTTCTTTGGATGAAGATGAAAAATAAAATAAAGAAGAAGGAGTAGTAAATTCCTTTACATGACACAGATTCGTCATATTTTTATTGTTACCGCCAAATTGCCAATTGCTTTTTAGTTGATTGCAATTATAAATCTATTGTTATGCTTAGCTTGTAAGTTCTTACTGTTTCAGAGGAACTCGTAACTTTAACCGATTCTCGTCATTACGATATAACTGGTGTTTGGAAACTTCAGGGTTAAAAAGTACGAGCAACGAGCATGTACGGCGAATCCAGCAAGGAGACCCGCGCTAATTTCAACTTTTCGTTAATTATATTTTATTTTAAAAAATATAAATGCAGGGGGTTGACGGCAAACAAAAATGTAAGTTTTGTAGAAAATTGCATATTTTATCATAATATAAAATTTATAAAACAAGAACATGCATTATTTGTAGGTCATGAAGATTATTACTCATTTTATTTCATAGGTAAGCACAACACTTGCAGTCTGATTTTTTTTTTTCTATTGAGTATAATGCGAGTAAAATAATAATATTCGCATATTCAATTTGTATATGATATATTAATTCGGTAAAGAAAAACGAGAATAGACTTTTGTATATTGCAGAGAAGTATTTAAATTATTTTGAGACAAATAGTCTCACGTCAATAAGGAAAAACGAGTGAAGAAATATTTTCGTCAAAGATAAAAGAATATCATCTATTGTTTCATTATTTATGTTTTGCATGTAATATAGTGAGTGGCATCTTTCATTTTGATATTGAAAAGATAATATTTGATGGGAGAAACCATGATATTTAGACGGCATTATGCATATGGCCTTTTCTATTAGCATCTCCATTAGCATATTATTCGTTAACCATTAAATAGAACTAGTACTATACACAATAATAATCCAAATCACAACAAAAACCTTTATTTTTTTTACTGCAAGTTTTATTAACTAATAGTCATTAATATAAGACTTAATCAGAGAGCTGATGTTGGTCTTATATGTAAGACCTAATTGATATATTTATCAATTTTTTCTAAATCAACTTTATTGATATTTCCCTAACAATAATCAAATAGAAAAGGAAATAAGGGAATTAAAAAATAGGGAGAACTACAATGAGGTCCCAAGTAAGGAAAATAATTAAAAAACAAGTCCCAAAGGTTGTCATTATCACTATAAGACTTGTCATTATAAGCTGTTGAAGTTGTTATTGGGACATTTTGATAATTATTTCTTTTCTGTGAGACTTGATTGTAATTATCCCTAAAAAATATGCTTCGGGTGTGTTAGAAACAATATATTATATTAATTAATTTAATTAACATTTTTAACCTATTCAAATTAGTTGAGTAGGTCTTATATTGAGGATACGAGGAGTAATAGGATTAACATTGTATACTTTTGTTGCGTTTCGATTAGTTATTTTTACCATGGCTTCATTCTGATAATGGATCTGCTTGTAATTTTGTGGTTGTTCATAATAGTATATGTATTCGTTGGCAAAAAAAAAAAGAAAAACAATCTAAATCGCAACCAAAATTTCAGAGACGGCGTCTTGAAATATGATAGCCCATTCACACTTGAGTTAGCAAATATGTAATCCAAATTCCAAATGTGAATTATATTATGGACACACTTGACAAGGACACACGCAAAGAGCAATCAAGGCGTGACTAATGCGTCTCCCACTTGTTACCAGTAAATATGACAAATTGTGATAGGCATGGTTTTTTGTCAAAATTGATGGGATTAATGATATAAATTTAACATATTTTATTCGGATGACATTTTTGTTATTTTGAAAAAACGTGTATGTGGGTAAATTTTGGTAGGAATTTTTTTTTTTTTGGGGGAAAAAGTTGGATGGCATTAGTGAACAAGAATACTAATATTAAAATGAGAAATGAAAAGGAGGGGGGAACATGTTGGAGAGAAAAGGCAAAGGTTGCTTGTCCAAGGTTTTGTAGTGAGTGGTAACTGAAAAGAAAGGCATAAATAGAATATTATTATCCCAATCGTGACATTCCCCTTCCCATATGTCATGCAATCATTGACTTCTTCTTTTGGTTTGGTCAAACTTAACCTTGCATTCCTCACACGCCACCGTCTCCTCCTTTTTCTTTCCCCTTTTTAACTTCTAGTAACAAGCCAATCTCAATTTATAAAGCGATGAATGTTTTTTTCAAATTTAAAATAGTTTTAGACTTAAAATTCAGATAATTGAGAATACAAAAAAAATTTATTGTTTAATTTTACTACACATTTTATCTTTATTAGTTTAATGGGAACTAGTTTGCAAGTGTCAATTTGAATAAATTCAAACAAACAAAAAATAGCCTCTTTGAAAGGAAGTTGACTCAGAACACTGCATTGCTATATTAGATCATATGGCCGCAAAAAAACTACTGGTACCTACCGCGCATTTTACTAAGGTTTATCGCATACACAAATATATTAATGTCATATTTGAATTCAAGATTTTATTCAAACATGATAACTAGAACTAGTATTAGGATAACTTGCGGTTGATATTTGGTGGCAAGTCAAAATTGGATATTTTGATTGTTTCATGATTTTATTCTTCAAACAATCATTTTTTTAAAAAAAAAAAAGAGGTTGATCTTGGGCATGAAAAACCTTGTTCTTGTATCTGTATGGAAGGCCTCTACATTTCGTATTTACGTGGGATAAAGCTAACAATCAAAGTTAAATAAAGTATAAATCTTATTATTATAATAAATCAAATCAAATTATCCATGATAAATCATAAATAGTAAACCATGCGTTTAAAGTTTAAACTAGGGTTGGTAATAAAGGCCAACTTACGGATTGCAGGTTGGTCTGTGACATGATACAAGTTACTCGGTACAGGTTGAAAAAACCAGTACGCTTTGCCGATTGGCTAAACCTTCCAACCCGCCAAAATTATATTTTTTCCTTTTTTTTTTATATATGCTAACACGGGTTCGAACTGTGACAGTATGGGTTTGATTTTTTGAGGTGGAGGTAAATTGGTTTGGGCAATCATAACTTGTTTTTTTTTTGGCGGGTTTGTGAATCCAACTTTTATTATCAGGTCTAGTTTAAACCAAAAGAGTCAAACACACATGACCCCAAGCATATTTCCCCACCCACGGGCAGAGGAAAAATAAGGGCACTGATGAAGGCCAATATTTTATTAAGTATATTAGGAAAATTCATATGATTATCAAATAAATTCAGAAAAAGAATGGTTCCACTGTGAAGGTGGTGAAGGATATGGATATAAGATAATGGGATATAGAAAATTCAGGCAATTGATATTGAAGAGGGAGCAGTATATATATGTGTGTAATATATATATATATACTCCTCCGGTCCTTATTATAAGACCCAATTTGACTTTTTATTTGGTCCTAATTATAAGACCCAATCTATTTTCTCTCTTATATTTATGCATTTTTTTCCAAGATAATCCTTCTAATAATGATAGTTTTAGCCAACATACTTAATTAGCAAGGATATTTTAGGAATAACAATACTAAGGTTTATGGCATACACAAATATATTAATGTCATATTTGAATTCAAGATTTTATTCAAACATGATAACTAGAACTAGTATGAGGATAACTTGCGGTTGATATTTGGTGGCAAGTCAAAATTGGATATTTTGATTGTTTCATGATTTTATTCTTCAAACAATCATAATTTTTTTTGTTTAAAAAAAAAAGTTGATATTGGGCATGAAAAACCTTATTCTTGTATTTGTATGAAAGGCCTCTACATTTCATATTTACGTGGGATGAAGCTAACAATCAAAGTTAAATAAATTATAAATCTTATTATTATAATAAATCAAATCAAATTATCCATGATAAATCATAAATAGTAAACCATGCATTTAAAGTTTAAACTAGGGTTGGTAATACAGGCCAACTTGCAGATTACAAGTTGGTCTGTGACAAGATGCAAGTTACTCAGTACATGTAATTGAAAAGTCCTGTATACTTTGGTGATTGGCTGAACTTTCCAACCCGTCAAAATTATACCTTTTTCTACTTTTTTTAATATATGTTAACACGTCACGGGTTCAAGCTATGGTGATACGGGTTTGATTTTTTGAGGTGAAGGTAAATTGGTTTGAGCAACCATAACTTGCTTTTTTTTGGCGGATTCGTGAATCGAACTTTTATTATCAGATCTAGTTTAACCCAAAAGAGTCAAACACATATGACCCCAAGCATATTTCCCCACCCGCGGGCAGAGGAAAAATAAGGGCACTGATGAAGGCCTATATTTTAGTAAGTATTTTAGGAAAATTCATATGATTGTCAAATAAATTCAAAAAAAGAATGGTTCCACTGTGAAGGTGGTGAAGGATATGGATATAAGATAATGGGATATAGAAAATTCAGGCAATTGATATTGAAGAGGGAGCAGTATATATATGTGTGTAATATATATATATATATATCCACAACATGGGAAATCTAAATGTGAAATTATTTTATCGTCGTTGGGGTTGATTGTAAAAATAAAGAATAATACAAGGGTGCCTGTTGCTGCCAAAAAAAGACATCTCAGGTCATCGTCGGTGTTCAAATTGCACAGCGCCAAACAACTCAGAGATAATTCCAATGCCATAGATTGTTGCGATTCGTGTTGTTTTGTCTGATTAATTAATACGATGAGACCGCCTCAACGGCTCGTTTCGTTGATTCATACACACGTTTTAATTTGTGTGTAATATTAGTATTAATACTATTTTCGTTCTAAATGTCAAACCTATTTTATACTCCTCCGGTCCTAATTATAAGACCCAATTGACTTATTTGAGGAGATTAAGGAAGTAAGTTAAGTTGGTTATTTATAATAAATAAGTGTTGTTATTCCTAAATATCCTTGCTAATTAAGTATATTGGCTAAAACTATCATTATTAGAAGGATTATCTTGGAAAAAATGCATAAATATAAGAGAGAAAATGGATTGGGTCTTATAATTAGGACCAAATAAAAAGTCAAATTGGGTCTTATAAAGACCGTAG